GGCTGGTGTCGATGTGCTCACAACGTCGTCTTGGGCGTCCGCCAAAGCGCATCCGCAGGTCAGCACATACAAGTGCGTGATCGGTGTCCACACCCGTGCTCCAAATCGAGCGACAGTTCTGGACGCAGCCTCTCCATCGGTAACTTATCGCAATATGATCGATTAGCGTCCATAGCTGGTTCGAGGCTGGTGGGCGCCAAGTCACACTCCGGCGGGTGCTGTGTCTGAAATTAGTGCTCGCAAGAAATAAGCGAGCATCTTCACACAAATGAAGTAACCGCTCACCGTTATCATTACGGGAGCCTATACCATGTTGGCCGCCCAGAAGCAGCTCATCTGTGGATAATTTTCCATCTTGAGCGTTCAGATCCCCAGCCAGCACTACAGTGTCCGAGCTTCTTCTGTGGCTAAGGAGCTCGTTCAGTTGACGATAGAAGTCGTGTTTTACCGAGTCATCGCTACAGTTTGTCGGTGCATAGGCAGCGATAACGAATAGACACCTGTTAGTCCCACGTGACTTCAAAGCTTTGAACGAGCCAGCCAATCGGACCGCACACATCCGGCTACTGATTGGAATCCAATCAACCAGAGCAGATTCAGCCCGGGAACTCAGGGCAATACCAACACCGGTTTGGCCGGTGCTCGAAGCTTCATCGTCACCGGATAGGCACAATGAGGAAATACTACTTGCCTCACCTGAAGGGGATCGCGGAGTGAGTACAGAGCTCGAGTCTTGCAGGCGGGTCTCCGGTAAGCAGCAGATATCGATCGAGAGGGTCTCTAATGTCCGAGCAAGTGCTGCCTGTTGACCGATCTGAAGCAATGTGCGTACATTGAGGCATGCGAATCTGAAGGAGGATCGAGGGCTCCAAATGGAAGCCGATGAACTGGAATGGGCCGTTTGCTAGGACATGGGCCTGTTGACAGGGCAGGAATGACGCTCTGCGTTCACATGTGAGTTGAAACTAGAAGACAACCGACTATTGAAGCAAGGTGGGGGAGGGCCGAAAATTGGGGGTTGAAAACAGCGGGGATAAAAGTGAAGCTGGAACGGAACGATAAGGGTGAAAAAGCGCAAGAGGGGGAATAAGAAGACGGGAAGGCTTGAGCAGTAGCATCCAAACCCCTATCCACCCTGCTCGATGCAGCAGATAGGGCACCGTTGATTATCCTCTGCGGTGGCCAGAGCATCAGAAATTTCTTTGAAGTGAGATTCATTGTATTGCGTGGGCAGGATACTGTCAGGTTGCCCAGGCCTAAACAGGAGAACGATTAGGGTTCTCAACCAAAGCTTTTGGTTCAAAAACCTTACGCAAGGCAGCTCGTTTGGCACTGGGCTACAAGGAGTCCGTTTTAAGGAATAAGGAGCCACCCTCATTCCAACCCCCAATCTGGAGGACCAGGAGGCTGAGTTTGTCTAGCCTCTAACCATTGACCAATCTGGTATGAGTGGCTCTGAAGGTGCAAAAAATGCACCACCCAGTATAGCTCAATGGATCACTGAGGCACACAAACCATCGCACCACGGTAAGGTCCAGCCTCATTGAGATGGCAGCAAACAGCAACATACGGATAGTTGTCTCACAGACTAGAGTTCTCGCACCGAAACGACGGATGTTCAACAACCCACCATCAATACGGTGCTCCACACGAACACCGTAAGCACAAGGGGCATCAGAAGCACAAGACATCATTGCATGAAGACAAATATTAAACAGGGCAGGAGCTAAGACACAGCCTTACTTCACACCAGAGACAACTGCAAAGTCATCCGAGGTCTCTCCACTCATCTGGACCCTCGCTCGCATACCACTGTGCAGACATCCAATTAAACTTACAAACTTACGCGGACAACCAAACTTACCCAACACCAGCCACAATGTCTCGCGGTTCACCGTATCAAATGCTTTGGAGAAATCAACAAAAGGCGAGTACAATGGCTGGTGTCGTTCTCTGCACTTCTCTTGCAACTGACGAGCTGCAAACACCATATCTATAGTGCTACGACCCGAACGGAATCCACACTGCTCTTCCGCCACGTTAGGTTCCACAACCCGACTAACGTGGCGGTTGAGCAGGATTCGGGCAATCAGCTTGCCCACACAACTCAGCAAGTTGATGCCACGATAATTCGTGCAACATTGCTTGCTTCTTTTGTCCTCGTACAGTGGTAGCACAAGGTCATCCTTCAGTTCAGGAGGCACCTACTCCTCAATCCACACGCGTTGCACCAAGTGGTGCAGCGCAGTCAACAACGCGGGTCCGCCGGGTTTCAATTCTTCAGTCGGGATCCCGTCGGCCCCAGCACACCTGCCGTTTCGCAGGTGAGCAAGTGCTCCCTGCGTCCCATCCAGTGTCGGCGTGTCCGCCACACTCGCCTTCACATCGTGCTGCTTTAGGCCGTTTAATGTAGGCCAGTCGATCTCTGAACGGTTGTTCAAGAGACTGTCAAAGTGCTTCCGCCAGATCCGCATTATGCCTGCAGTCCGTGTGCAGGTAGCGCCTGAACTGCCATCGATCAGTGTCCTCAACATCTTCAATCTCGGTCCATACACCGCCTTCATGGAGTCAAAGAATTCCTTGTGTTGGAGGCGTTCGGCGTCGCATTCGATCTGCTTTGCCTTCTCCGTTCACCATGCATTTTTAATCCGGTGGAGCTTTCGGGTCAGTCGCCATCGAAGTTTGCGAAACTGACTCTTCTTCCCCAAGTCACTGGGGTCTGCCACATGTGCAGCAAATGCTGCATTCTTCTCCGACACCAATGCGCCGATCGTCGCACTGTTGTCATCAAACCAATTAGGCCGCTTACAGTTTGCGCTCCCGATGGTCTCCTCAGCAGCAGCTGTCACCCGGTCGCGAATGTGGTGCCACAGGTCGGCCACTGTGGCTATGCAGTCCACATTACACAGGCGTGCAGCCATCGCTTTTTCCCGCTCAATACGTTTCGCCCCAGTACCGATGAAGAGAATGTTAACTTTACGCCGATGCACGGCGGGAGTGCAATACACTGATTTACGAAAATATATGTGCAGTTTGGTTCGCACTAATTTGTGACCAGTGCCACACTCAGCTCCGTGCAGTACACGTGTCATGTGCACTTCACGCATATCACGCTGACATACGATGACATAGTCGAGCAGGTGAGCGTGACCACTCCTTGGGTATGTCCAAGTTGCTATATCACTCGCACTCAGTGTAAACCGAGTGTCCGTGATCATCAGGCCGTGAGTGGCACACAGTGAGAGCAGCCTGTCACCGTTCACATGCGCTGAACCAATGCCATGCGGACCGATGGCCTCTGTCGCTCCTCGGCATAGACCGTATCACGGAGGATAGCTGAGTGTAGAATTGATCACGCGTGTCATCAGGATAACACATGGTCGGAGTGTACGTGCTAACAATAGTGGCAAACTTACCTCTCCAGAGTCGTAGGCGAACAGTCATCAGTCGCGCGCTGATGCCTGTTGGTTCACCCACCAGCTGGTCATGGAAGCGATCGGATATTGCAAATCCGACCCAATGATCACGTGGTGCTGAGGCGACGTTGCCCACCCAGTAGAATGTGTAGTCAGCACCTGCTTCATGCAACTTACCTTGCTCAGCGAGCTGGGTTTCACTGAGCGCCGCAATATCGATGTGGTAACGTGCCAGCTCCATCGCGACCAGTGCAGTGCGTCACTCCGGGCGCTCATTCGAGTTCCGGTCCCGTAGTATGCGCACGTTCCAGCACCCGATGCTGAGTGCCTTGCGAGCAGACATACGATTGCATTGGTGGGCAATCGCACGCGAGGTGGTCGTTGTGCTTTGGAGGTTTGCTTGAGGGGCTCCACCCGGAGCCGTTGGCTCAATAACCTGACCCACAACGCAGTGGGGAGCAGATACAGGTCGGGAATGTGATTGCAGTGACAGATTGGGATCTGCTTTACGGCAGTCACACGCAGCCTTTGAAGTAATGGAACGATTTATATATGTTTGGCGACCGTAGTAGGATACGCACCTGCGACCACGGCCAGACGCAGGTGGGTTTTGGCTGGTTTACACCAATTTGACCAGAGGCTGTCTGGCTTTAATCGGGCAGTAGCAAACCATTGAGCACCCGGAGGTATCATCCCACCGTTAGAGACAAGGCGTGGCGCTCGTGCTCTACGCCAATCGAATTGTGAGCTTATATCCCGTAGACCTGTTGTCTCCCATGGCTAGGTTTTACGGGATGAGGGCCATCGACCACTTCCCAACTTCCGAAGAGGATGGGCTAAGATACTGGCAGGGCGTCCACACCTGACAGGAGAACGACTCGGGTCCTCAGCCAAAGCCTTTGATTAAATTTACATCCGAAATGCAGCGGGTCTAGCACATGGTCAGTTAACTGACTCATGCGGATTGGTGTCCTAGATCTTAGCAGGGAGAAGGGCGAAACCCAACTCCCACCCAGCGGTCGACACGAGGAGGCGTCCAGGACATGAGCCAATGGCACAACAGTGGCAGCAGCGGGTAGACAATCTGTCAGGATCTAGCCACCACCAGTCCCAGCGCACCATAGGCTCTCCCGCCTATATATATATATATATATATATATATATATATATAAACGCTTGAAAACCGCGGTTAATTCGGTTGATCAGCTATTTGCAGAGCATCAGAAGAAATTATTTTCTTCCAGATACAACTATACTACACCCAGAGCGTTATTTGAAGGCCCGCGCAATAGCCACAGCAGGTGGGTCTCATAGCTTTTAACGCCAGCTCAATGAAGTATGGAGATGAACTTGAATTCACCATTGTGTAGACATTCTAAGCCGACAAACTCTTAAGATAATTCATATGTACCCAAGGATGCCTGTCGATGTGCAGGGAAAGAATCGGCTTACCAGAAGATGATGGCTGGAGTAATAAGTGACAAAAAGGTGAATAATAACGGAGTGATTGGGATTTCTCCGAAGCGGATGAAAATGGTTGATCACATTGATTGTCATTCAAGCAAGGAGAGATAACGGGCTTACCACTGGATTCTCTGACATTTCGAGATTTCTTTTTATTCTTTTTGTTCCGATTCAATTTTAACACTTGCTGCAAAAACAATAAAAGATATGGAGAACAGGGTTATAGAGAAGAACAGAGACCATTTTAAAGAAGCTCACTGAATAATCAAAAGTCAGTGTGAGCAAATGTCTTGCATAAATAAACATCAGCTATAAACGAATCAAACTAATCAGTCAGATTAATGAAGTGGTTAAAAAAGGAGAATAAACATTCACGACAGGTCGATGATTACTGTTAATTAGGTTAGTGTCTCGACCTGCACGCGGCCCCACTGAGTAGAGGTCACGAATCGATCGATTTCTTGACTTAGAGTATGCAGACGACATTGCCCTCATCTGTGACAGCTCCCAGACGTCCAAAGTCACGCTGGACAGATTAGCACTGGCTGTCAGCCGCTTCGGGCTTTGCTTTGCACCCTCGAAGTGCAAAGCGTTCCTCCAAGATTGGCAGAAATCGCCTCCTGCACTGACCCTTAGTGGGGACCAGCAAGAAGTCGTTCAAAAATTCAACTAACTTGGAAGTTGTATCAGCGCCCTTGGGATCGAAGACGACATCACGAACAGTATAGCGAAAGCTCGAAGTGCTTTTGCTAACCTTCACCACCTATGGCGGCGGCGCGACATTACACTCGCCCTGAAGGGTAGAGTGTACAATGCAGCGGTACATTCGACCCTACTGTACGGTTGTCAAACCTGGCCCCTAAGATCAGCAGACATGAAGAGGTTAGTTACGTTCGACCACCGGTGCCTTCGTAATTTAGCTCACATTTGGTGGGAACATCACTTGAGCAACGAGCATGTTCGACGCCTTGTTTACGGCACAGGAAAAGGAAATGAACCGCTCAGCACCGTCATTTCACGCACCAGGCTCCGATGGCTCGGCCACGTGTTGCGCATGCCAGCCCACTGACTCCCTCAATGTGCGTTGTTTGCTCACCGGGGATGTGGATCGAAGAAGAGGAGAGGTGGCCAAGCGACGACTTGGTCCAGAGGAATGAAGTCCCTCACTTCGGAGCTAGCCTCGGTTGGAACCTCAGGGCTCCCTGGTTGGGGTCCAAAAGACGGTGAACACGTTTGGCTGGATACACTTGCTGACATGGCAAGGAGCCGACCTCAGTGGCGTTCGTGCTGTGAATTTCTTTGTCCCTCCCCATCCCTTTTAGCTTCCCCCTCCACCTACGATCTCATTTCTTAGCGTAAAACATAATTTTTTTTTACCTAGTTGCTGGCTGGTAGCTTATCGGAACGATGCCTATCCGTTGCTGGTAGCTCAGCTGGCGTGCAACTGTCGTATTTATTTTTCCTTTATGTATGGATTTCCTTTATGTATTGCGGTGCAATAGCGGAGGTGTTTCCGACCTCTAGCTGACATGTATAATGATGATGATGATGCACAGATTTGGTTGTTGTAAACCGAATTGTGATAGCCTCAGCAACTTCTAGTATCCGTCTGTGTGAATATCTCGACTCTTTTCGGGAGCTTTCTAGATAATTTTGCACGCGTCGGCTGATTAAGAGTTGTATCCTATGTCGGCGAGATGCCCAACTATTGAGGTAGTTACATACCATTCTGATTTCAGCCGCTATTCCTACCGGACGCGCGGATAGACACCTTAGTCGCACTACCAATGTATTCTGCCCCACAGGAACAGGTAAATGAGTAGGTACACATGAAGTTGTCGTGAACAGGTGTACTATCCTTGAGGCCAACCTTTATCATCGGTGTGGGGAAGTATGTATGTAATTTTGCTGTTGGGGAGGTGCACCGGAGATGGTGGTTGAGAAGTTCGTTCGCAATTTCCCCCTTGTACGGAAGCTGCAACAAAATTGCTTTTCTGTTGACTGTCAAGACTATCGCGGTCTTTTGCCTTTGCTCCATGTGGATTTTTATAAAAACGGTCTGGATAGCAGCACCGAGCAATTTAGATGTAGTACCTCAGAATGTGTATCATGAGGGCAGATTCATTCGGGGCGAATGACTGGAGTAAGAATTAGACTCCGTTTCAACCTCAGTGGAACGAAGCTGTAGAAGTTGGTGAACTGGTCGTTCCATATGCTATTTCTACCTAGGTGACGTTGTAACATACCGCTAACGAGTCGCTTAAAGCCCACGTCAAGAAAAGGAAAACAGCCATTTTCTTCAAGCTCCGAGGCAAAATGCATCGCTTAATGGGCATGGTCAAAAGTGTTGGTAAGATCATTCTAAGAGGACTGAGACATCACAAATATGCCACCAACATAACGGCAGTAAAAGCTAAGAATTGCGATAATTGTTTTTAAATTGTCCTGTGAGGCATGCGGGCTTGCCGCTTGCAATCTCTGTAGCATGAGTTGAAATCAATTGGAATGCGAGAATACTGCTACGTGCAAAAAGTAAGCCAAAGACGCTGAAATCAAACTCGCCTCGTTGATCCCGGCCAAAGGAGTGAGATTTTGACAGCTGGTGAGGAAGCAATTTAAAAAGTGTGCCACTGACACGGAAACGAGCATTGGGTCAACTTCCTGGAGGTAGTTCTTGAAAATGTGTTTGGTTGATCGGATTAACAACTCAGTGATGGCGATACGCTGATAAGGAAGGGAAGTGAAGAACACCGATATGTAACACTGGGAAGATAGACCGATGCAATTGAAATCAACACTAGTGAACCGTGCATGCGTCTCTGTGCTGGTTTTTACTTGCAGCTAGAATGTCAAATCTGGTTAGCGAGGTTGCCACGTACATCTCAACAGACAAGCTGCATTATCTTGAAAAAATACACGATCAAGGATGTAAAATGGGATTGTCGAAGGGCCAGTTGTGGAACTCACCTTCAAGTAAACAAGTGACGGTTTTTGATCGATCAATTCAACCACGCGATTCAAGTAGCGCACGTTGATGCCACTAGAACACAAAAGTAGCAGAATACAATAGCGATGTGTGGAGTGGCGAATGATTAAAGGATCTCTGTGAATTCATCATCCAGTTGGAGCGGATTGAAACTGACCGTCATGGCCACCCTCATTCGAAAACAATAAATCACTCGGAATTACAGTGAACAGACACATTGATTGTTGGTGTGAACACGGATGCTCTGAGTCAAAAAGCGCATATCAACCTATGGCAAGTACAGAAGCGTACATGGAATGGGCGGTAGGTGGTACCACAGGTGAGGAAAACAAACGCACAGAAACCAACGAACACACTATCAGATGAGTGGGACGCTTAGAACTAAGTTCGCTGCGGCAAAATATCGACCTACATTATGAAAAATGGTGATACAGCGAGATTTCACACTGAAGGCAAAAGTGGGATGAAGAGAGACCTAACATGGGATATAAACCGGTTGAGCAAGTATCCAAAGTCAAGATGTTCAAGCCTAACAAACACCGTACGATCACAGGTTCAATTCAGTTGAGTAACTATGATCCAGCTAGCACAGTGCGGTAAATCCAGTTACCACGGTTCACGTCACCAGAATAGCAATAACAATGGAAAATAGTGACGTCGAAGCCAAATAGAATGCAACAATGAAATTAAGAAGGGAGTGCGTGGAACTAATGGGGATGAATATCAACAGCTGAATGTAAGAAACCGAATGCATAAGATTCACTGTCTAGCCGAATGCGCCATGTCCCACATAGTCTTCAACTACTGATGCGGACTATCACGACGCCCCGTCCACAAACACAGCACGCATCATCCTGACCACGTCTCGCAGTCCATCTCTTCACGTCTCTACGCCACGTCATCGACTGGCCATCTTGTGGTTTCGCTCAACTTGGTTCAGTGACGGTGTATAATACAAGTCGAGTACGATGATCAACGGATAGTATATGCAGGATATGACCTAGTCAATGAAAGCGGTTAAACTTCACTAAACGCTCCAGTGAGGCACCACAGAGTATCATGACAAAAGCGGAGAAGAGATTACAGATGACGATAGAAATCGTCTTACATACTTTTCGAACTACAGTCGGTGGGGGCATAAAAAGAAGCGGTGAAAAGGCACTTTGCCTTCTGACGGTGTTTTCAACCCCAGTAGAGACTCGAAGTCAAAAGGCACACACGCGGCTATTCCATGGTATCTAGTCGGGTAGGTCCTGTTCAGCATTTTTGCCTATGGTGACACCGAATCTATGAATACTCTGAGGTAATGACTTCGTATTAACGAAAATGCGAAAGATGTAGTTATCGTCCGCAGATTCGGAACCAGAAAGTCGTAGGATCCTCGCAACGGTTATTTTGTGGTGTGTTGTGTGTGTTTCGGAAACAACACAAATATCACCCATCGGATATCCTTGGACATCACAACTGCGGACCGACAATTGAAGCGGATAGATGAACAGCAAGCGAAATGACACAGTTTTCAAGCAACGTTGTACTAAGACCGGAAGTACCAAGTGCCATGTTTAGTATCGAAAGTGACGGTTCACGCAACCTCAACACATCAGAGGGATTTAGGTAATTTGCGAAAAACACCCAAACATTTCAAAGTCAGACTTGAAGAATCCGTTGGGTGATTGGGTTGCTACAAACAACCTCTATTGAGACCTCGGTCATTCCGATCACAAGGATCGTTTGTGAAATGGAACTATTTTGGTGCTGCTCATCCCAACAATGGCGCCCCACGAACGCGGTTTCCTCTTGGTTTGGACTCATCAGATGAAGATAGTCTGGGCTGAGAGCGGGGGGGGGGGGGGAAATCAGAGCCTAGTGAATCACGGTTGATGTCATAAACACTATGTCACCGAGATCCGCGAGCAACGCTTGCTGCCTTCGACGCATTGCTGGTACGATGGCAACCTAATACTGGCGAAAAGATGTTAGTCGAAGAGTTTTTAGATCCGAGAGACTTTGGCGGCCGCTGAACTGCATAATTTCAATGCACAGACTTCGGTGGCTTGGGCAGGTGCATCGCATGCCCAATTAGCCTGTATCTCGTTGTGCACCCCTCGCGTGCGCAGAATCTGGCTAGAAGCGGCAAACAAAAGATTTGGATCAAATGTATGAAGGTGCTGATCTCAAATTTGGCCGCAGTCAAAAGCGCTCGGTTGCCTGGTTCGGTCGCAAGGATTACGAACACAGCTGGCTGGAAACCCTCTTGGACATTGTAAGAAACCGGGCACGATGGTGAAAATATTGTGAGACTCAAACTCCCTTGCCACAGCTTTATACTTTTCTTTCCCACTTTCTTTCGCTTCAATATCGTTGTAGTTTATTTATCCATACGTTATGGCACTGTGCCAACTGTACTGTCGACACACTTGGGCCTTTCCAGCCTTCAAAGAGCAAATGGCCAGATGCAATATTACCGAAGCACAGGCAGCAACTAAATGTCTGTTGAAAATATGTCAACAGGTGTAACTGCTCTCTTTGTCAATTTTCTCAACTATGACGGAATCTAATTCAGAACCAACCTAGAACTTTGTTTTATCACTTATGAAATTAAAGCTTTCATCCTTTTACATTGTAAATTGAGTTATATTGAAATTGGATGCTTTTAATGTCATACTGCTAGTCTTGTAACGGCTAAGTCGGTGTTCCCATAGTCAAACGGACACTGTGCCTTTTTAGTCTGCTCTCCAAACTTATCAGCCAGGAGTAGCGTGTGTAAGCGACTGAATATTTGCAGAGAAGCAGTATAAGTGGGATGAGGCAGGGATGAGTTGCAGAGTGAATAACCAAGAATGGAAACTTATGTGCTTCAACTGAAAGTGAAAATCTCTCCAAATAGACATGTGCATTGTATAGCCCTTTGGGCGAAAGGCAAAGCATTCAGTGCAAGCTACCTTATGGAGCAAAGATGCGGAACGTAGCTGTCAAACATTGTGCGTAAAGTGATATAGCATGGCAGTAACTGTCAATATGTATGGGCGCAGTGAGTGAAGAAACTTTGCACCTCTTACTTGCAAAGTACCATTGCAGAACTGGGTGACACACCTCCGATTCTAGCTATCACCGAACAGCCACTGGAAAAATGGTGAATCGTTTCACTTACCTTAGTAGCTGTGTTACATCTGGTGGTCACATAATTGAAGACGTTATTTCGCATATCAGCAAGGCCCGTGTGGCATTCCAGAGTCTCAACCATCTATGGAGACGGTGGGATATCAGCTTGTCAGAGAAAGGCAGGGTGTATAACGCTGCGATAAGGCTTGTGTTACGGCATAGATTAGAGACAGTTCGCATTGAAGAGATTAAACGCTTGACCGTGTTTGACTACGGTGCTTGCGGAGTATTGCTCAAGTCTGGTGGGAACACAGGGTGAGCAATGTTGAGGTCCGCTGGTTGGTTTTTGGCAAGAGAGCGGGTGAATGGTTTTGGTTGTAAGTCCATGTTTCGATGATATCGCCTTGCTGGGGAACGACCCACAATCCGTTCAGAGCGCTTTGAACCGATTGGTGATGGAGGTGTCTAAGTACGCCTTATGCTTCACTCCAGGAAAATGTAAAACGCTGCTCCAGGACTGGCAGGTGCCTGAACCCGCGCTTACCACTGCTGGACATGTTCTGGAGCAAGTCGCTTGCTTTACTTATCTAGGGAGTTGCATCACGGCTGGTGGCGGTATTGGAGACGAAGTCACACAACGGATTGAAAAGGCCCGCCTTGCATTCATCAAACTGAGACACCTATGGCGTCGTCGTGATGTCAGTCTCAAGCTCAAGGGCAGGGTGTACAATGCTTCCGTCCGTGCAGTACTCTTGTACGGCTGTGAGACTTGGCCTATTCGCTCGGAAGATATGAAGCGGTTGTTAGTCTTCAACAATCGCGGTCTACGAAGGATTGCTCGGGTGTGATGGCAACACCACGTAAGCAACGCAGAGATGCTAGACCGCGTGCTTGGGGTACGCTTGCTCGGGCACGTTCTGCGCACGCCAGCCCATCGCCTTCCACGTCAAGCGCTATTTGCACTCCCAGGGAGCGAATGGAAAAAGTGCCGCGGTGGACAGCCAATGACGTGGAGAAGGAGCATGAAGAAGGCAACCTCAAGTTTAGCGGCAGTCGGACCAATCTGTCTTCCAGGTTGGGGACCACGAGATGCTGAATCGCAGTAGTTGAAAACATTAGACGTCATGGCCCGCAACAGACATCAGTGGCGTCAATGTTGTTCTGCCATTTTCCCATCCATTTGGTGCACACAAAAACACACAAAACAAAAAAATACAAAATGGCGTGTAAAACCAAAAAATCGTTTCCCATATTTTTAATCGCAGTTAGTGTTCCCATCTTCTTCACTATTTTTCTTCTGCCATAGTTCTGACGGCACGATATCTGTTAACACACTGTGATATATATATATATATATATATATATATATATATATATATATATATATATATATATATATGGTGGGACAAGTCGTCGTGATAACATTGAAATGCGAGACTAGGTTAGATGTGGTAGCTTCTTTGAAATGCAAAAATCATGCACGAACGCTGTCGGATTCCAAGCACCAAATCAAATTGATTGGGTTTCGAATCGATATGCGTCATCATCCACTGGTGGCAAAATATGGTCAAATTGGGTGCAAGTAATCGAAGAAATTCGATTGGCTCGAAGTAGCACGTTATGAACGCATGTACTTGAAAAGCCAGCATCCAGTTATAGGAGTCGATCACCACTGTTTCTTCGGTGTGTATCGACCTCGAAACAGTATCCCAAGCGTCCTACCGAGTCATAAAGACGACCCACTTGGGCATTCATGTCCCCGGCAACAATCACGATATCCATGTTATGCCGTAAGTAAGAGAGACGAGAGCTGACGATGGAATTCGTCCTTCGAACTGGAGCATAAACTATAATGATAATAAGCACCATGTCTCCAAAGATTGCTTGTTAACCATAACAGAAGCCCGAATCAGCCGGAGGCCGAAGGGATAAGGCGTCTGAATTGTATTCCGAAGGTTACCGGTTCAAAGAAGTGTAGATGCGGGCGGATTCACTGGTAGCAATCGCATGGCAGTGAAGCGTCGGAACGGCGTGCCGGTGTACTGCTGACGTGTAATTAATTTGATAGGGGCCCGAAGTGGAACTGCATGCATGCGATTGTTTGATAGCATCTGATCGAGTAGATTGCCTTCAGCATAGTTACTGATACCCGAAATACCTTGCGTCATTGACTGCATCAACAAAGAAGCCAAAGTGCAGTCGTTGTTGGCAGAATGGGAACTAGGGAGTGGAAGATTTGGTACGACGCTGTTATCGTGTAGGTGCGTTTCGGAGACCGCACACATCAATTTCAAGAGAGAGAGGGTGTTATCCTTCTACCTTTTACGTGTTCGCGAGATCAGCCAATGCTCTAGGTCAGATCATCAGCCATTTCAACTGATGCTTCGCTGCTATAAAACCACAACGACCTGAGAAAAGAAGAAGAGGGAGACATATGGGACTTATTGGAAAACTTTAATGCCCTAAGAAAACATTCAGAGTCAAGGCGCCTACACTCGTCAACCACCTACCGTCACAAACAGCTGTCTATCGTGCAAAGATAAGACGGCATCGGCGAGACAGCTTCCTTGCGGCTTTCACTGCTACGCGTAATAATCAGCCATTACCCCGCAGATAACACAGCACCAAACACACTCCGACTACGAGACGACAGCAGAAGCGCCAATGGTGTCGATTACGAACCATATCCTGTGGAGTCTCGAGCCAAACACTAGGCGAAGCATCTGGATTCCAGCCTGGAAGGTGAGACGGACCAATGACACCAAGTTTGGTCGCCAGTGACTTCATTTCACGCCGCCAAGTCAGCTTCTGTCCACCTCGTCTTGCGAAACACCACATCTGGCAGACAAAACAAGGCTCTCCTCGGTAAGCGGTGACCACGTATGCGTAGTACGTACCCAAACCAACGCAATTTACTCAGTGCTGTCTGCTGTTCTAAGGAAGTCGCTTGATTATCACTGCCTGGTATTCGCCTGCGCATATAGTTGTTACGGACACGGCAGTGCCACCCGACACTAGCAATGCTCCGCAGAGAGCGATGATCGAATAATTGAAGGCACCTCAAACCAAGTCTCACTCCCATACAGTAGGACGGTCCTCACTGTGGCCTTGTGAACACAACAAATATTACAGTTTCGAAAACACAGTTCTATGTTCTGCAAGTGTGAACTGACTTCAATCGTTATGCGCCAATCACTGTCAATGCAGTAGCCGAGGTAAGTGAACTAACTAACTATCTCGAGTTCCTCGCTATCAAGAGTCAAGGGACCATCGAGTGGCTGGTGGTCCTGTAGCAACACTGCACTTTGAAGGTGCGAAGCGCATACCAGATAACAGGATCACTTTGGGGAGGTTATTCAGGGTTTATTGCGCCGCCCCAGCATCTAGGTAAGAACGAAACGCCTAGTAAAACGATGCTTAACGGGAACATGTGATTGGATTGAGGAAAAAAAGAAATTAGGAAGAAGGCTAACAGTGTGCAACAAAACGGTGTCAGCTGCATTGGCTCCTCAGTAATAACAAATACAGTAACTAAACTCAGCGTGCTTATGCTGAGCGGAAATGTGATGACCTTCTAATTCAGTGACAGCCGCTACCCTACCTGACACGCAGTATCACGATTTAACAGAAAGTAGTGCGTCGCCTGAAATTAATCACAACTAAAGACCTAGACAGAGGGTAGGGCTGAGTATGCAAACTCCCAAATAATGCGTGATGACGATGACGCAGGGGAACGTAAGCGATACTCGGTGATAAGAAATGCCAACACGCATATCCGATATTAACTCGGTCTAAATATGTTGGATACAGATGGATAACCGATGTAGCTTAAATTCATTCATTCATTCTGCGCATTAATTATGGGTAAGGAATACCCCAGTTATTGTGTTGCAGTACAGCTTAATAAGTTCGTGGTAAGCGAAAGAAAACAAGGAGAGCAACGTAAAACAAAGATATAATTATTCTTTGCTTCATATTTTGCATTAGCGACGGGATCGTGACTAGAGGGGGAAGCTAAGCGAGAGGGGCGAAATAAAGGAGAAACACAGACGCCATTATGCTCGGCTATTCGGTATGTTAACAAGTGTGTCCAACCAAAGGCGTTCATCGTCTTTTGAACCACAAAAAGAAGTCGGGAGGCTACAAGCTAGGGTCTTCATTCCTCTTGACCACGTCATCGGTTGGCTTCGTTACTCTTCTTTCATCTACACCCCAGTCGCGTGAAATAAGCACGTCGCTGGAGTCAGTGTGCTGGTATGTGTAACAAATTACCCAGCCATCGGAGTCCAGTGGGTGAAACAATCTCGCTGAGCGAATCAGTTGTTCATTCCGAGCCGAACACGGTCATGGTTAAGTTGTGAAGGCACCGGTGGACGAAGGCAACTAGTATCTTTACGTCTGTTGTCGCTTTGATGGACCAGGGTTCACAATCGTACATGAGGGTTGAACGAACCGCTGCATAATAGGCAGCCTTTCAGGATGAGAGTGAGGACGCACTGGTGCCATAAGGTTGGCAAAAACACCTCGATCTTCCGCTACAAGGTTCGTGACTTCATCTATTTCAAAAGTGCTGATACAGCTGTTTATGAACTACCTTTAGCCGATTCTCCAAGTCATCGTAGAGGGGGACGATTGTCAAGATAACATAAGAGCTCCGCATTTTGAGCGTGTAAAGTAACGCCTGAAACAGCTGATAGCCAGTGATAATCTGTTCAGTGCTGCATGGCACGTTTGTGAACCGTCACAGATTAGGGAAATACAAGCGATATACTCCTACTCAATAAGTCGATCATCTGGGAACAAGTCCGCAAGTAAGTCGTTCCCAATAAACGCACATTCTCACATCCGATGTAAATCCGCAGTTAGTAAGTTGTCTCTCTGCAATGCTTGTCCTGTCGACTAAGCCATGCAGCCGACATCGATCGACACAGAAGCCCAAGCGTGGTGGTCGGCGGCATTTGACCTCGTGCCCGCACACAGGGGCGTGTGTATATGTGTGAACAAGTGTTTACAAAAAGATGCACAGTGGACAACCGCGAATTGAACACTCGCCATACGCACATCAACTGCATGGCGACTAATTGATACATTGAAAGCAGGTGACAGAATATACTGCGACAGACCTTTGCGCACAAAGTAAACAGGGCCGTGCTGATAAGTAGTGTACTCGAATCACGAGATTAGATGTATGCTAAGCGGAAATACTGAGAAATGCGACCACATTACAAGCTCATAAGGTGGGAGAATCGATCGCTCTGGAATCGTTTGCAGAGGGTAAAAAAGTGAGAAACACCAAGAAAGTGTTGTGATCCCAGGGGTCGCTGCAAAAGCAATTAAGCGGACATCAGAACTATAGGGATAGGCTGATGTGTAAGAGAGTGAACTGGATGAGGAAGATGTAACACAGTAAAATAAGGCTAACCGTTGATGAAGGACCTCAATCAATGCGTGTCCGTCCTGTGGGGAAATGTAGAGGCTGTAGCAGTCTCTTACGAATGCAGGGATCTGTTTTGTAACCAGGAAGTCACAGGCATCGATCACAAGATTCTTATCCGCTTCCAATGCATCTCGCTAAAAAGTAACCACAAATGCGTACAAGTTAAGAGGCGAAAAATCCGATAGAGAAAACGGATGAAGCAATCACAGGGGATGTCTACCTCAGAATCAGGAAACTTGACGAATTTCTGACAAATGTCCGGATTGAATGCCAGCTCAAACCGATCCGAATACACCGAACCCGCTGATCTAGTAGCAACTTGAATAGCTTCAATAGCGAGGTCTGCGAAAATAGGAGAACGAAAGTTGAGCAATTGCAAACTGACGTAAATATTTGTAACTGTTCGGAACAAGGAGCTCGTCTGCTGCTCTGTGACAGAGGAAAGCGCATCAGTGAGTAAAAAAGACGACTAAACGGTAGAACTGTGAAAATACTCTAGAGAACAGTCCATGGTGGTGCGAGATAATAAAACAATGATGCAACCGTTGAATCTCTATGTAGTATCCATCAAGAACCCATTCAGCTTGCTTACAAACACACTTCAAATGATTTTCCAAGACGTCTGGAAGAGAAAACGATCAACGTAGGCAAAAAAATGAAAAAAAACGGAGAACGAGAGCGGACGAACCAGATCGAGAAGTCGAAATAAAGGACCACAATTGAAAGAGCAAAAATTTTTGATGAATCAAGCGATTCATCATACGAGTGTAGCGTAAAATGAAAAGTGCACACTTGAAAAAATCGTGAGACATAGGGCGATTGACAAACTTAAAAACTACCAAGATAGGAGAAATAAGCGGTCGTTAAGCAGACAGCAGTCGATTAACAAAATGAAACGGAGTTATCGCAGCAATCTAGATGACTGTGACTGAGAAGCGGTGCATATACAAGCAACCAGAACGATTACGGAGGTGAAAAAAACTGAAAGGAGACCATGAGAGCGAATGTAAGGAGCATGCAGTAATGAGGCCTGACCGCTTTGTGGTAAACGATAGAGCGTATGCGGATAAAACTCACCACTATTAACGGCTGAATCGTCGTTGAGTAATTTCTTCAGCACCAACAAGTTATCCGAATGAGAAGGATTCAACGGTTTTTTTGAAAACAGTCCAGGTGTAAACACACTTGTCTGGGCCTTGGTATCTTCATGATTAGGGGCGGATTCTTGGTTAACGGACTCCTGAAGGGAGTGCAAAAGAGAGGTGCCAACGGCTACTTCGGATGCGCTTGCCTCGTTCGTCTAGAAAGCAAGAAGAACGGGACATGAACGTATAAGGATGCGACAGCTGGATAACAACGGTGAGCAACATTTAGAAGCATCAAAGGTGTGGTGCTAACAGAAAATAGTAGTAATCAAGACCCGGATATTATTCCCGAGTGCAGCGTTAGGTACGAGAGCAAAAAGAAAGCGTCCGGAAAGTGTCCACTGCGGAACTATCAACACGAAGATCAGATGAAGAAGAGTGAGGCCTGAGGAAGATTAACCAGTAATGATCTGAGCTCGTGTGCACAAATGAGTTGCAAATACTAGTGTAACTGAAACCGTAGTTGGCGGTATCCGGTTCTGGAATAGACTATCACTGCGGCCTCCACGGGGCAGCCACAGGACGCCTGCATCTACAGAGCGACCATGGATAGCTTGCGCTAAACCACCCACAGTTACATCCACACATCCCATAACCAACGTAAACCCGAAGGAATAAGATCGGAAGGCAGGTGGATGGGAGCCACTTTTCATCAACGGAGCCGGCCTACACTGGTTCAACATACACAGCAGCAGCATTCCTGCCTATCCATGTGAGAAATCAAGCGTGCCAGATGTACACAAGGTGGCTGGGTAGTAGTCCGCTCCACACTGGAGGGAAGCACACTTTGAGCCCAATGTGGCTACGAAGACCGTGCACCCCGTCCGTCTCAGCAACGATTCACAATCTCTGAAACTAGTAATCGATGTGAAGGGTGTTAGCCAGGTAGGTACCTTGTAAACATTCACATCTAGCCCAGTCGCATCGAGAATATTAAACAACGAACATATAATTTGAAGGAAAAGAAACACGAAAAATTGGCACAGAATGTGTCGCAGAATAACAAGTGAGCAAATCAAATAGTGGAGTATTTGGTACTCAGATTAAGGGGAGCTAGTTTAAGTGTAAGTCAGTGTAGCCTAACTGCGATGAAGACACATGATGTACGCAATATCAACCTTAGTATGAGGCACGTTGAGAAACCATACCTCCCTAGGTAAGGAAAATCAATTAATGATAATGGTATAATCCGGTGTTACCAAAATCGTCAGAGGCAAAGTCTAGATGCACGCACACAAACTATTCAGAGTAAGCAAGCATTAAGTTGAATGTATAAGGGAACAGTGCAGAGCGGCTTGAACGATTTTGCATAGGTACCTCACAGCTTCATCGAACAACTACCACAAATCAGTAAAGCACTGGAGGTGGATGACCTCATCGGAAGTCGACAGCAGTCGCGTTTCCAGCAGACACTGCGGAAGACTTACCGCCGACCGTGTAACTCGCAGCTAAGCCAATTGCACTGCTAGACCATAGATGACAGCTGTGTCATGTGTAACTGCAACGCACTTAGGTACAGTGCGGTGCATGCTCAAGCACTGCGAGGGATCGAGCAGCCTCCTGGGGTTAAGGCTTCCTTTATAGATTGATGGGAAAAAAAGCATCGGCAGTACGCCGGTACACCATAGCGACTCTATCGCTGCCACGTGACCATCACCGGTTGTGCGTGGGCTGGGTATATACCGCGAGGCCACCCAACAATACGCGGATTCGAACCAGTAGGCTCGAAGGCAAGCGCGTAATCCTTTCGGCCATTGGTCGACTATGATGTCGTAAGTAAGCTTGAAACGATTGCCGATTGTAGGGGAGCCGAATGGGACATAGTAGGTATCAGTGTGGTTATGCACGGCATAAGTCACTAAGTGACGAGAACAATTCGATGGAAACGCGTATTGCAGAGCTCCGATAGTACGGATTGGCAAGTCATCAGTTTCCTGAATGTTCTGCTGAGTAGTTAGGATGAACGCAACGGGGGCCATGAGCTTGTTGTAACTGGCAAGTGGTAGTAGCCATCTGGGCTTAGGAAGCACAACACAAACTGATAGAAACTAACATTGTTCGTTGCGATGTTTGCATATTCGTCCTTTATCTTCTGGATTTCTAAAACTGCGGAGCGCAGAAACGCCTCATGACGGTGCCTGTAAGGTAAGGAAATGGTGAGAGACAAACGGCGAATGTGACAAACAAGTGAGCAAACATAGCGGGAGTGGCTAATCAAAGAGTATTAATGAAAGGATCGGAGAGAAAAAAGAAGAAAGACATCAGCAGTACACCGGTAGGCAGTACCGACGTTTTGCTGCTGCGCAATCGCCACCAGTCGCACGTAGGCTACAGATACTGCGAGGGTAGCCCGGTCCCTACGCAGGCTCGAACCCGCGTCATCAGGTTACAAGGCAGGCTTGTGATCCTTAAGTCTACAAGCCGGTAGAAACAAAGAAATGAAAAACAAGGGAGAAGGGGACGAAATAAACCTATTCAAGGCACTTGTATACGTTGGTAGAGAAAAGCTGGGTCAATATACAGCAAGAAAGATGCATCAACGCGCCGTGTAGCCGCCTCGTCGTCATAGTTACATGCGGACTAAGGATACTACGAAGCATTGCGCGTCAATGTTGATTCGGAATGGTGGGTTGCGGATTACCGACGATCAACAGTGAACGATTAAAACAGGCGGGCTACATAGTAGAGGGATCATTGCGACAAGAGATGGTGTTGGTGAACAAGGTGATTGTGAATCAGGAACTATGACATAACCCACACAAAGTGGTTAGTTGAACCCAAGTATAAACAAGTGGATTGCAACGCGCAATCTCGACCTGGACGACGATTAACGTTGTAGTGAATCCAGGTCAGTTACTGATCACTGATTGAGACCCATTTCAACGTCATCGCTTAGACTGGGATTAAGTGTGTGGTCCATGCAAAAAATAGGTGCTTTAAAATGGATCCATGATGAGACGGTTGTCATGGTGATAAATGTTGCTTACAGTTCAGTTACGATGGCGCAAAAACGTCAACCGATAGCTTATAGGACCTCGGTCCAAAGTAATAGTTGAGTCTCAGAAGTGGAGGACCTAACCCGGCCGATTCATTCCCATTTACATCGGAGATGCAGGAGCAAATTTAGGTAAATGTCCGTCGAAAGCTACAATCTTTTTACGCTCCTGCTTTTTAGTGGGATCGTATCCGAAGTAAAGATTTTCGGTCGCACTCTCTCTACGATGCCTTTCGCTCTGGTTAGGACTCACAGGTTAGAGATAGCCTGATATGAGAATGGAACTCGGCACATGGTGGTTGGCGACTATGGCAACGATCACTAGGACAATGATCTCTGCGAGCAGTGCTTGACACAGCGGCTTTTGGAGCACCCAAGCAAGCGCTACTCAGGGAGCTTAATGACCTAGTGATCATGGCGATATCCGCCAAGCTCTATGTGTCAAGTCCCACTCCCAGCTCAGGCTATCTCTAACTGACGAGTCCAAACAAGGACAAAACGCGTTGTGGAATGCAGAGATAGGAGAGAACAACATCGAAACCTTCCAATTCGGATATGATCCTAGTGATCAGAATGGCAGAGGCTGAATTTGAAGTCAACCGAATCTACAATTGAGATGCTGCATAGCGATCCAAGACGCACGGCGAGTGCCCTAAAACTCAACAATCAATTCTCGCATTTTAGTTTTACTGACTACCATGTCGCATTTGGTCATCAGCAGTATGTCAGTACGCAGCATGGACGCTTTGCTGCCGGGCAACCATCACCGGTCGCATGTGGACTGCAGATACTGCGAGGGACGCCTGGTCCCAGAGCAAGACGAACCCGCATCCTTAGACTACAAGAAAGGCATGTGATCTTTAAGGCTAAGAGCTGGCATGTCTCCTTTGTAGCGCATTAATAATTACCTGTTAAACTACTTTAGTATGTGACTCCATGCACGCTCATTACTCGATAAATTACGATTTGATCAAAAGTTTTGTAGCGAAATTCGCGCAGAGATACTACTAGAGGTGATAAGATCGGCTCGATCAGTAGCAAACTGTTAATTCTGTTGTGAAACATATCTGTGCGTAATGCTGAATCGTGTCTCGCATCGTTGAGAGATTAAAAAACCTGTTTATTTGGTTGGGTCATTTAACATAGTACCGACATGAAGTGGATAAAGGTGCCAATTTCATTTCGCGTAAGTAATCGAACATGATCGAGAGAAAGTGGAAGGAGATTGTGGAAAACAGGAAACAATAAAACAGGTGGACAAATGCAACACATACGACGAGTGTTGGTTGCGAGCAAGCCTGCGCGAATGAAGCAATGGCATTAAAGGACAAAATACGAGTTATAATCTGGAGCAAGCAGGGCTTACTCGAAGAATGCCTCGATTAGTTCTTGTCGCAGGGTGCATAGCAAATGTCTATGTTGATATGGGTACCCGAATTGAGTTAGAGAGGGAGATAGTTTGGGACAGAGATCCTGAGGACACGTGCCAAAATAATTGAGATCAGGCGGGAATGTGCGGAGTAAATCGAGAATGTACGTACGTCCATCATTGCCAACGATCCCTTTGCAATCAACGGAAGAGTAGAGTTGAACCTCATCGCCATTCTGATTAAGTACTCTGAAAGCGGAGGAATCCGAAAACCGGATGAAACGGGAAAAGGAATGTAAGATAAAAACGATCCACAGAGCGCGCTGGCACGGAAGCACAAACGTGGTCACAATCTAAATACACTGAAATCCCAAGCGTCGTACCGCCCGCGGATCGCAGTAGTTTAGAGATCGATGCATTAGCCGTGAACCGCTACGTCTTGAATTGCATTCCCAGTTCCCATTAACTTTGTCTGAGAAGTCCGAACAAGGACGAAATCGGGCATGGAGTGCAGCAGCATTCCCGAAAACCCAGTGGTGGGAATGCCAGAGGTAAACTAAAAAATAAGCCGAGGTCCCAATTTAGACTGCGTGTCACAATCCAGACACAGGGGTAACTTAAAAAGCTTAAGGTGAAAATCATCAACTTCACTGGGATAACATCACATTGTCAAAGGAGCCAGGCAAGTGGCAAGAACACGATGGTTAGTGTTTGTGGTTATACGCCCCAAAATACTCAACTACAAATGCCTGTAACTAGCCAAGTGTGCAGATAGACGTCCCGGTACAATGAGGGACGAAGTGATGGTCGGGAGAATATGAATGAGACAATGGTCTGCATCGAAGACTGATGCTAAAGAACATGACGAACGTTACGCACGACGACTGCACCACCCATGCGGGGTAGTGATTGAGCCATGCGCACTCAAACGAGGCATTACGGTGATGTAGGGAGCAAGATAGGTCGAAGCGAAAACCCTGGGGCAGAGGTTGCTGGTATATGGAATCGGTTAGACGATTAAACTGAGTTTTTCAAAAGGTGATTGGTACCCGAAGGACAGCAAAAATGCGGCCAGAGATGAGTGAAATGAACCGAAGTCCCATGATAAAAATAGTGTTGTACAAGTTAAGGTCATGCGGCAAGACGCAACAGGTTACATGATGACGGAACACCCGATCGAAAGATGCTGAGAAGGAAATATGTAGAGACCCACTTGTGAGGTCGAATTTTCAACTGCTGGGCAGTTTTCGAGAGAAGCTCCTCGTATCGGCGGTCTGTCACGACTGTTTTTCCGAAATCAATGGAACCATAAACAACCAGCTGCTCCTGTTCCTTTTCCAAAATTCCTGAAAAAAGACAGAGTGATACACTCGTGGTAACCCTAGATATCGAATATATATATATATATATATATATATATATATATATATATATATATATATATATATATATTGTCGTGTTGAGAACACGAGTCACATGAGGAAGGCCGACTGCCGGATAGTACTATTGCGATGACATCCAGTGTCCCCGGGAACGCAAAAAACGGCAGCAGTCGAGAGCTCGTTTCATAATAACTCACCAGGGATAATCGTTTGAGCGGTGACTCGAAAGCCGTGGTAGTCGATGATGGCGGTTCCTAATGTGTGCAACCCGGCCTGATCGAGCATAGAGTATGCTCGCACACCGCTGAGATCACTAGACTGGAAATTGAAATGGATACAAAAACAAAGATGACTTAGTGTGAATTCATTTAGAGAGAAAGGTAAGAGGATGACCCCAAAAAAGTGGACTAGGTTGACGGCTGGGTAGGCATGGGCCACACAGATGGGCTAGAGAAAGATGAGAGAAGCTTAGTAAAACAGGCACCAAAGGCACGAGATGTCTAAAAGCAGCAAAAAGCGTCCAGTGATTGACAGAACTCGATAAAAGGCATCACAGACCACAGAAAATGTCGAGGAGTATACCATCAAAAAGACTATGGTGGGAGAAATCGGTGCACTGGTTGAGTGGATGTACACAAGTGACATCAAAGATAAGGAAACCAATGAAAAGTGAGTAGGTCAGATGACCTTCAGAGCTCCCTGAAGACATTCAAACGGTCATATAATGCAATAAGAACACAGCGGTGCATAATCTAAAGAAAACAATCGAACACGCTAGCTACCGCACACATGAAAGAAAATTTTCCATCTGAAGCAGTCATAAAAGAGTGAACGATAGCAATCAAACTCCTAATTCGTTCGCTGTGCTCCAGCTCCAAGACATGAGACTACCTCTGTGCGTGCTCAACGGCTTCGAACAGGAAGAGTGCATGATAAAGAGGGAATTGGCTAGAGAAGTCAAAAAAGAACCATGTCTTGGTGATAACTCAATGAAGGAAAATAACTGCGCTACGCGCCACTGGTGTCAATCGCAAACAGTGTCCTGTTAAGCAAAGCGTGATTTGGGTGGACTAGAGCCTGGAACGCAAGACAAGCTAACAGTACCAAAGCGAGTGGGTCATGGAGTTTAATTCGCGCTGCCACATCAGCAATTGTTCGAGTTTTGCACCATCCTACAACGGTGAGAGAAAACAAAGTTCTCCTCCTGTTGAGTGGCAGTGTAGCACGTGCCCGAGCTAACACAACATATGCAGTAATAATCGGTGATTTAGGGAAGTGATTAACACCGCCTAGTATCTGCGTGCAATTCTCATAGTTGCTACCACTCTGGTCTAATCCGACGGGAGCGAAGTTCCAAAGACAAGGATAATAAAAGACCCGAGGAGTTTTCAGTTCTTCAGACTAGGTGGGATGTGCTATACCGACATGGGAAATGATGGCAGTTACTGTGGTCCTGTAAAAAGAACACAAGACCGAGAAAAATCCCATTCACATGTTTCGTATCTTGGTTCTATAACAAGCAGTGCGTGTGTATGTGCTCTGTACGGATGGCACACACTAAACATAAATCATTAATCGAAGACCACAGCCTATCCGAAACACTCTGGACCAGTAATCGTATAGATATGTGAAGTATGCACGATCTGCACCTACAACGGAATTGGAGAAACATCCCCATTAGCACTAGTAAACGGAAGAGAAAAACTCCGCAGTGTATGTGTGTCCTTGGCAAATTACGGGCCTGTACAAATGGTGGGGAGCGTGGTTAAGTAAGATGGAGACGAACATGGTCCACTGAAGAACTGACAGTTCACGGCTACCAACATCAGCGTGTAAATGTGTTCCTAATCAGCGGATACAAGGTACACAGAGGCAAAGTATTATAAATGAGATAAACAAAGACAAAAGGAAGAAATATCTCTTATGGGTAGATACAAGAAAATGGGGAGAACGGCAGGAATCACGCTTACGGTAGCCACGTAGGCCGCATGTTCACCACCAAACTGCTTGTAATGATCTTTTACGTCAAATCCCAAGGAGAAGAACATGTTGTTCCAAATGAACATCTGTTGCTTTCTCGTCTCGCCGGGGTTGATGGCCAGAATGTCGCCGTTCACCACACTCATGGCAGCCCGGGTAGCCGCGGCGACAAAATCGCTGTTGGATTTGAATATGGCGCGATCTCGCAACAGTCGTTCTGTGAGACGAGACTGTGGTAGCTCACGTGTGACTTGCAATTCTTCGTTCCAATCTCGCGTCTGGCCTGGCAAATTTTCTTCGCAAGCCATCCTAGAAGAAAATGCTGAAATGGAAAACGAACAGAAAAAAGAAACAAATCTGTGTTATACGTGAGTATAGGACAAATTCAATGGAAAAAGAAAGTAGAGCTGACTTAAGAAGTAACAATGTACTAATGCTTACGCAGTTAAAACTGAAGTCCCTAGACTTCAAGAATAGAATGGCAACACTAGCAGTAGACTGCAAATCGTTGGATAGTATAACTAGAGGTTCCGCGTGAAAACGATGCCAAAGATGTGAAAGCAAAATGAAGGGACAATACCCCCTGCGGTGTTGGGAGAGACATCAGTATGAAAAACGTCAAAACGTAAACTTCCCGAGACTCGACTTTGCGCTCCAGCGAGAGTGGTGCGGTAATGACATTTGGCCGAGAGATAAAGGAGGAATTAGCTCCCATTCTCCGAAAAGCAAAAGGTAGAAACCAAATCAAGCAGTGTTAAGTGGATACACCTTAACTACGATCGGAGAGTGGCTAGTTTGGTTACCTTTAGATTGGTACCAGTGTTTCCGAAAAGTACAACGCTGAAAAATATTTATTCCGCTCGCCAAACGAAAGCGTGTGGCCTAACTTTCGATTAGAAGCAGGGAAAAGTGAAGGACTTGTACACAGATTGAAAAATGCGAGCATGGGAAACGCCAAACCCTAAATCAACAATAAGTTAATTCTTTATTCGGTATATACAATTATATGGTAATTAAAATTTGTGGACCAATTCAATGAGCAATCATCCAGCTGCTTCCAGCACACGATGACAAACATCCTCAGTCAGCTCACCACTGTAACCTACACGCGCTCACACAGGCGAACGAGGATCCGTCCAGGTCAGGGTAGACTTGGTGCATCAGTGAACCTCTGTGAGCAGTCGTTGTTTGTACAGCCGAATCGCAATGGCCTCTGCGGTGTCTAAGATCCGCTTATGGACGTACTTTGATCGAATTCGGGGGCTTGATTGGTAATTGCGAACGAGTCAACCGGCATCGTGGCATGACCAGCGTTTGAAATATGCGCAGTAATCCCCACAACTCATTGCATTTACCAATTTGTATGTAGCTGCGGAAGCAGTTGCACCGGTAGAGCAAGTTGACTAAGGAAGCGGATTTGACAGCATATTCCGAAAAGAATGGCCGGACTGATAGCACAAACAAGCGGACAAGGAGTAGCAGCCAAAATGCCGGCACCATCCATTGTTAGACACCTAACACGTCATCAAGTTGACTCTGACTCAGGTTTTATGGTTGACTACTGCGACGAGAACGCCGGAATGCTGAAGTTTGCCGAGGCTGTGACGCTTAATCGTTGTTGTCTTACTCTTCGTGTGTAAAAGTAACAGATAATAGCCCTTAAGCTTCCTGGGGATGCATGACATTTACCTCAGCTCAACCATATGTTGTTTTGTCTCTGCGTGCGTTTTTATTTGACCAATGCAAAAACATTGTTTTCTTCCCTCACTTAATCTATTTATGCTGTTAGCTTGCAAGCGATCAGACAACACGAGATGGCAGAGTTAACAGCTTTTCGAACTTCAGTTCCGAGCCAAGTCGGGATAAGCGCCTTGTCATCGGACCAACGTATTCTGCTCCACAGGAACGGAAAAATGACTTTGATTTGGTGGGGACAGGATGCTTAACCTTGAGATTTAGTCCCCCAATTGGGCTGCTAGCGAACTGGATTTGCATCCACGCAGCTGGAAAGACATGCCTGAATGTGCATAAAAGACGGCAGGATAAAAATTTCCGCCACGATTTCCCCTTTATAAGACAGTTGCAGAGAGGCGGGGTTCTGTTCTACCGTCAGGATTGCAGGTGCTCCCTCTTTTGCTTTATACTGTTTTGACAAAACACTGGATAGCCATTTTGGTTCAGTGTGTGGATAGCAGGAGCTCGGTACCCAAAGGTTAACGACTGGCGCCATGATCACTGAGCCTCTAATATCCGCGCAGAAGGTTTAGTGCTCAAAACTGAAGCACCAACGGGCCCTTCACGTATAGGTAATTTGCAAAAGCAAAGAAACAGATTTCATAAAGTATTCGATTGTACTACACCGACGATCGGTGGAAACTGGAATGGAAAACCGAAACGAGCGTGATGAAACCAAAAGATGTTTAACTGATCGCAATACTGTGGGAAAAACCGTAAGTAAAATCACCCGGGTGTTAAGCCGCACTAGATGTGTGGCAGTCTGATAACAAGGTAACACCTTATTAGAGAAAGTAAATTCACGAAGCTGATAATCCAAATCGACTAAAACGAAGGCACATTAGCTGCTGAGTTCAGCGGTAGGTTCAAGAACATTTTAAATGATTCAGGTAGTGAGTGAGGTCGTTCAAAACAATGCGATATATGCGCGTCGAGTTTGTGCCAAGCAGCAGTACTTAAGACGTGACATAACAACTCCCCTTCAAAAACTCATCTGTTTGCAGGAGCCGAATGCAACATTCGGTTCATGGATTATGCACTTGATCATGTGGCGACGGTATGTAGTCAACAATTCCTAGTGATAAAGTAGTCGAAAAGCCACACAATGGTTTCGTTCATTAACATGTATATATGGAGCTGGGGACAAATGAATACAAAAGCTGACCGGTTACCTTCTTCCTTTCGTATTGAATCCGGAGTGTGCTTGAAGGACGGAGCTAACCAGCTGTATACTTGGTACGGACTTGGGACGCGCTCGAAGGGATGTTTTGAAGCACGGCGCTTCAGTAAAGTTTCAAAGTTGCGCTTGAAACCGGGACTGAGTTGTTTCAGCAGATCAACCAATGAATGGGCCACGTATGCATGCTGAACAGGATGGGGATGGAACTCATCTTCTGTGGACCTTACGATAGACAAACATTAACATGGTATTGAAAACGTTACATGGATCAAAGCAGAGGAGATTTAAAAATGCGAATAATGACATCCATATTGGCTAAACTTGATAACAATGAAAACTGCCTGATGGCGATACCGGCTGGTATACGCAGCGAAGCAATGGATATACTCATGATACGTGTGGTGTTTGCCGAAATTGATGGAAAAAAGAAGTGCAGCAAGGCATACAGTAGGCCCCAGTACCGTGTCCACTAGGCCACATCAAAGACTGGCTGTGCATACAGAAATATAAGTGAATCCGAAGCTTGAAACACCGAGCTCCACTGATAACCCATCGTCTGTCATCTGATTTACTTGTTTGAGTGAAATGAGTCTGTGGTAACAATGTGCTGTTTTTATCTGACTTGGAAATGGTCACTGATAGGATTTCTCCGTAGCCTTCTGAGAAGCACCGTGTTGGTGTTAGACAAACTACTTTTACTCCCGATTTCACTTCCAATCACTGCGTCACCTACAGTATCGATGATGCACAACGCGTCAGTGTTAAAACACGCGCACCGGCAAGTTTTGGGGCTGGGCTCTGGCTTCGTCTAAATTTTTCATGATCATCTCCAGTTAACCGCATTTGTCTTTCCACCCGGCCAAGCAGCTAAGACACGTACTTAGAAGTTAGGTAAGTAACTAGATTATGCCTGTTGTTAACTGCGGTTTTCTGTTCTGTGCTGTAGGTAGTTAATCGCAATCGTCTCGCGTTGTCACTTAAAACAAAGATGATGCGAGTTCTCAGTCTCAATGTCGTTTCTAACTGGCCTAACAACACGTAAACGCAATAGCGCTTCCCTTAAGTATTGTGTGATCTATGACAAACAACCCTCCTTCCAAACATGCAATTCTCTTCCCATCCAGATATAAGTTTCTCATCGTATCCTCCGTGGTGTATTGTGCGGTAATTGACTGGAAAAATATCGTGATCCCGGCTAACTTTCACTACTTATGCGGAGAAATGAGTTAATGGATGTGGAAACGAGCCAGTTTGTAACACCAAAGGGCGATTAAGTAAGCTGTGTTATAAAACTGAGTAATCTGCCATAAAGATTTCCAAACACAAGTATGTGTGACACGTAAAAACTGACTTTTACTCATTCGAGGGCGAAATTCTCCATTAAATCGGGAAAACTATTAATTTTCATTTAAATAAACCGTGGATCAATAAGTTTATACATAACATTCTAAGCCAGGGGAAAATGTGCAACGCTGGAGGACACTGACTCGTAAGAAGTAGGTTTACACTAATGACAATGATACCCTCTAAACAATCACAAGCTTGTCTTGTAATCGGTGGGCGCGGATTCCAGCCTGCGTAGGAGACCGGGCAACCCATCGCAGTATCCGTAGCCAACGCGCGATTGTTGGTGGTTGCACGGCAGCGAAGCGTGCGTATTGCGTACCGGCGTACTGCTGATATCCCTTACCGACATAAGGCCATACCCAAAAATTAGTTGGCTCAGGTGGGATCCGCTAGCGAACACATATGTTAACGACAACGGTTGGTTTGAATGCGCGACAACGGAAAGCTCAAAAAGCGAAGGAAACTGACTACGTAAATTGAGTAAAGATGCCGAAAGCAGTTCTAGGAGTGAGTAGCAGGGGCACATCAGTCAGGCATTAAAAACCATCATACAGATAAATTGGGGTATGAGATCATCATTTAAGCAGTTTTGTAGCTCACTAACTGTAAAAGGTTGGTGGACATGGCACAAATGAGTCAAAAATAAGAACACCTAGGGAGACTTCTGGGTATCTATCTGATCAGTTGGAAATCAAGTTTAACCATCGAAAAAATCTAGAAAGGTCATTAAGAAAAGTGAACCGGACGCGATTGAATGTGAACTGCAAAAATACGCACATTAAGTGCGTCATCATCATCATCAGTACACGTCAGCTGAGGGTGAAAATACACTCCAGCTGTGTCGCCATACAAAAAGATAGGGGACTACAAATTACACTATAAATTACACAAAGTACACTACAAAAAATATGATGTTAAATATTATATTGTGTTTTGCATGAGATCAGAATTGGAGGGGATGGGCAAAGAAACTCAAAACACAAACGTTATTCGGGCCGGCACTTCACCATATCAGCAAGTGTGTTCAAACAAACGTGTTCATGGTCCTTAGGACCCCAGCCAGGCAGTCGGAATGCACCAACCGACGCCAGTTTCGACCAAGTCATCGCTTGGCCTCACCTCCTCCTCTCCCAATCGCACCCACAACGCTCAAACAACGCACTTCGCGAGAGTCGGTGTGCCGGCATGCTTAACACGTGACCCAGACATCGGAGCCTGGTGAGTGATATAATGGTGTTGCGCGGTTCACTCGCTCTTCCTGCAACAAATACGCGACGCCGAACACGCTCATAGTTCACGCGGTGCTCCCACCGGACACGAGCTAAGCTGCGGAGGCAGCGATGATCGAATGTGACGAGCCACTTTATATCTGTCGACCTGATGGGTCAGGTTTCACAACCATAGAGGAGAGTTGAGTAGACGGCTGCGTTATAAACTCTGCCCTACAGCGCGAGAGTAATGTTGTGTCTGTGCCAGAGGCGGCGGAGATTAGCAAAAGCAGCTTGAGCTTTTGCTATACGGTTCGTAACCTCATCTTTGATGCCACGGGCGCTAATATAGCTGTCAGGTACTTGAATTCCTGAAGGACTTCTAGCTGGTCACCACAAAGCGTTAGCGCAGGCGTGGGTTCCTGCCAAGCTTGGAGAAGTACTTTGTAGTTCGATGGGGAAAAGCATAGCCCAAAACGAAAGAGCAGGTCCCCAGAATTTGAAGAGAGTTGGGAGAATTCTATCTGCCCCTGCGGCCTTATGCAATTTCAACAGCCTGATCTCACGTTCGACTTCTGTGCGTGAGGACGGATCCGAGGAGACGGCCCAGGGAGAAGGGCGCTCAATGACCGAAAAAGAAAACGATAACTCAGGTTGGTTAAATTGTCTTGTAAAGTTTGCGGTCCAACGCTCTAAGCGTTTTGACATGCTGTGGATCGGCTGTCCACTCTCGTCGCATAGTGTCTCGCTAACACCAGGTCTCATGCAGCCTGTTTCCTCTGTCAAACGGAATAATACGTTTACCAACGGTAGCGGCTGTTTCCATCTCCGAGGCACGATGAGAGCACCAGGCTTCGCGGTCTTTCTTCAGGCTAGCACGCAGTTTTGCCCTGAGATTTTTGTGAGCCTCATTGTCTTCGCTTTTGGCCGGAACAGGTCGGCGAGCATTCAAAAGTTCCAAAGACTGTGTGGAGACCCAATGTCCAGTTTGACAATTTGATTTGCCACATGAAGACATGCCTGCTGATAGTAACGTTTGACGAAGATGCATCCAGTGATTTTCGACGGCGTTCAGTGGGCGCTTACTCGGCCCTGATGCCAGCGTACTTTGATACACATTCAGAACACCCGGCTTCGCCAGCTGGCTGGTGTCAATCCGTTCACATCGACGTTGCGGATGTCCACCGAAACGCACCCGGAAGTCGGCGCAAACAATTGCGTGGTCAGAGTCCACGCTCGTGCTTTAAATCGAGCGACAGTTTTGCACACAGTCTCTCCAGCGGTAACTGATCGCGATATGATCGATTTGCGTCCATGGCTGGTGCGAAGTTGGTGGGCGCCAAGTCACGCTTCTGCGGGTGCTGTGCCGGAAGTTTGTGCTCGCGCGAAAGAGACGAGCATCTTCACACGGCTGTAGCAATCGCCCACGGTTATCATTACGGGAGCCTACACCATGTTGGCCGCTCAGACGAAGCTCATCAGAGGACAATTTTCCGACTTGGGCGTTTAGATCGCCAGCCAACACCATAGTATCCGTGCTTCTTTTGTGACGAAGGAGATCGTGAAGTTGCAGATAGAAATCATCTTTCACCGAATCAGTGCTAAAGTTTGTAGGGGCGTAGGTCGCAATGACAAACAGGCACCGTTTGTTGCCGCGCGACTTCGAAGCCTGGAACGAACCAGCTAGTCTAATGGCGCACATCCGACTGCTGACTGGGATCCAATCGATCAGGGCCGCTTCAGCCCGGGGACTCAAAACCATGCCGACGTCAGCTTGACCAACATTTGAAGCTGCATCATCGCCAGACAGGCGCAATGAAAATGCGCCGCCAGTGTCGCATGTGGGGATTCGCAGTGTAAGCACTGAGCTCGAACCTTGCAGGCGGGTTTCTGATAAACAGCAAATATCGATCGATGGGGGGGTGTGCAGTCAAGTGCTGCCTGTTGGCCAATCTGTAGCAAAGTGCGCATGCTGAGGCATGCCACTCTTAGTGAGACTCGAGGACTCCAAAAGGCAACGGATGAACTGACGTTGTCCGCTTGGTTGAACATGGACTTGTTGACTGGATTGGAGCGACGCCCTGCGACTGTGTGTGAGTTCATTAAGTGCGAGAAAAAACTGAATGAGTGTTGCGTTCGTGATCATGGTTAAACTGGGAATCAAATGTGATCTGAGTGCGAGTTTTCAAAGAGATCCATTTGGGTAAGTTGAGTACAACTCTGGCGCCATAAACACATAGATTCTGATAGCAGGCGTGGAAGGCAGAGTCACTATCACTGTATTCCCAGCTAAATGACTAGAATTACATTCAGGCGATGCTCGAGTTGTCGGGACAGAACGCATGTAGTCTGTGGGTGGCGTAGAGAACAAGTGCCCTCTGTTGGCCGATCTGACGAAGTGTCAGAAGTCATAAGATGAGACGAAACTATATGCTAAAAAAGAATGTGTTTGACTATCGGTAAGACTGAAGGCCAGTCAGATAACAAATAGCCTGAAAGAGAAAAATGTGAAACTAATGATAAGTGGAAAAGATAACGAGTGACGAGAAAATGGTTTGGAAACAGGTGATACTCAGAAACTAACTGTTCTGAGGGGTGTTTTGCTCGGAATTCCCAAAGTTAATCATTAACTCCAGTGCCCAATATGCGAAAAGGTTGAGTAAACGG